TTCAAGGCTTTTTAAAAAAAATCCTTTATTTTTGGGCTGCTCTTAGAGTACCTGTTTTTATCAGTGTCATCTTCATTTTAATTCACGGCTTTGATTTTCTGTAGTCATAAAAATAATCATATCTGTTAGAGTCATATATAAAATAGGATTCAGCTCAATCTTTTTCAGTTGTTTCTGACTCTTGGTGAGTGCATTCAGGGTTTTTTTGGGAGAGATACTGAAGTGGTATCAATCCAGCTCATTTTACAGATGAGGAAACTGAGACAAACAGGGTTAAGTTACTTACCCAGGTCAAACAACTATTAAGTGTCTCAGGCAGGATTTGAACTCAGGAAGATGAGTCTTTCTGATTCCAGGGCCAGCCCTCTATCCACTGGGCCACAAGAATAACAAAATATAGCCTCTAAGTAAAAGATTTGGCTTCAATACCTCCCTTAACTCCTCAGTAGTCTGCTTCGTTTGCTTATTGACACTTGATTATGTTCAGGATAATCTAGATTTCAAGAAGAATGGCTCAGGGAGATTATTAAAAAAGTGTTACAGAAAACCAAATACAGGCAGTGAGTCCTACAAAACATTTTAATTTTCCTATGATTTAATTCTCCAGATGGAAAAATTAGTTACACATAATAATATCAAAGGGGCAGCTAGATAGGTCAGTGGATAGAGCGCTGGGCTTGGAATCAGGAAGACTCCTCTTCCCGAATTCAAATCTGGCCTCAGACACTTAATAGCTGTGTGACCCTAGGTAAGTCCCTGAACCTTGTTTGCCTCATTCCTCATCTGTAAAATGAGCTGGAGAAGAAAATGGCAAACCACTCCAGTATCTTTGCCAAGAAAACCCCTAAAAAGGGGTCATGAAGCATCCAAAATGACTCAATGACAACAAAAATAATGTTTAAAATGTGCAAGAAACTAGCAGGGAAGAAAAATACATATATATATTAAGGAGTCCTAAAGGAAGAAAAAAGGAAATCCTTTCTTTAAAATAACCCTTTTCTCATCAATCCCTCTTCCCTTAATCCTCCCCGCCACCCCCACATACATTCTCTAGTACATACAGGTAACTAGTTGGTGCAGTGGAAAGAGTGTTGGACCTAGAGTCAGAAAGTTGTTATTCAGTCATTTCAGTTATATCTGATTCTTTGTGGGGTTTTCTTGGCAAAGATACTGGTTTGCCATTTCCTTGTCCAGGTCATTTTAAAGATGGGAGAACTTGGGGCAGGCAAGATAGAGCATGGGTCCTGGAATCAGGAGGACCTGATTTCCAATCCAGCCTCAGACAATTGACACATACTAGCTGCATGACCCTGGGCAAGTCACTTAACCCCATTGCCTAGCAAAAAAAAAATCAAACCAAAAAAAGGGGGGTACTGAAGCAAACAGGGCGAAGTGACTTGCCCAGGGTCACATAGCTAGGAAGTGACTGAGGCCAGATTTAAATTCAGGAAGTTGAATCTTCTTGACTCCAGGCCAGGTACTCTATCCACTCCTCTACTTAGGTGCCCCACAAGCCTTGTCCTTATCCCAAATAGAACATGGATGGGACCTGATAGTCTTTATTCCTTCTAGAGTCCCAAAACTGAGGCTCAGAAAGGAATTCAAGCCCACTTTCTTCTCTTTCTACAATCTCAGTCCCTTTTTTAAAAAATACTACACTGCTTCAGTTATTAGAGATGAAGAAAAAAGATTCTTGTACAAGTTAGCCCCACCCAGCACAAACTGATCATCAGAAATCTTATCATGCAGATTGACTCAGTTTTTGGTAATCAACTTCTTCTCAGCTGCACAGTGGCCTCTTCCCTCAGATTAAAGGGCTGGAGGGCAGCATTCTAAACTCCTCCCCAAGCCTTCCTCTACAGAGGGCTCTGAACTTTCAGAATTTTCCAGGTAACTCTCCACCATCCATCGGCAAGCTCTATTTGTTTTGGACTCCATAGAACATCCTGATCTGTGGTGCCCCCTTCACCTTTCCAGCTTCCGTTTGTGCGTTTTCTTTCAATTATAAGCTCTGTAAGGGAAAGCACTGTTTTTAATAATAATCATTACTATAGCTAACATTTATATAGTACTTACTGTGTGCTAGGCACTGTGCTAAAATCACTTAATCATTTGATCCTCTCAACAACTCTGGGTAGAAGGTGTTATTAATCCCCATTTTATAGCCAAGGAAACTGAGGCAAACAGGTTAAGTGACTTGCCCTGGGTCACACAGCTAGCATCTGAGGTAGGATTTGAACTCAGATCTTCTGACCTCAGGCCTAGCACTATCTGCTGTTGTTCATCCTTCATTTTTGAAGAGGACATCATATCTTGATTTGTGGGTGAATTGGATTTAAATGAGGCAGAGTTGCACAAAGTCTTCAGCCTCACTGTCTCTTCCAGAACCACCAAAGTCCAGTGGCAGGACAAAAGTCAAGATGACTGGTAATGGCCCATGAGGCAGTGGATGACCTTGGTGTCTTCACTGTCTGATGACAAAGCTCTAAGCATTCCATAGTGTCTGCTTCACCTGCCTTCATGGCCGTTGGAACAAACTGTTCTCATTTGCCCATTCTGTCCAGAGCAACCTTCACGTGCTAGGGGTGGCTGAATTCACTAAAGTGTTTGAGGCCCACTGGTTACCCTCAACTTGGTCAGTTGTCTGCTGAGAAGGTTTTACCAGGGTCTGGCTGTTGCACATGCTTCAGCTTCTTGGTAAAGAAGGTAAGAGCTGAATGACAAGTGGGCACCAAAGGTGAATGAGGGAGCCCTGAAAAGGGCTTGGCAAGCCCTCACACCAGAGGTACTGGCTCCTTGAACACCCCCCCACATACCATCTATCCACTGTACCACCTAGCTGTAGCATATCATTTGTATCCCAGAACTTAGCACAATGCCTGAGTAGAGCAAGCACTCAATAAATTGAACTGAATTACCGGATAATGTTTTTTGGAGACTTGGTCCTTTAAATACAAATGAAAAACAAAATTTCAGCCCTCAAATACTAAGGTTAATGTGATTGGTGGTGTTTGAAGGCATCCAAAACTACAGTATGTTGGAAGGACACATAGTCATGATTCAGGTAACCTGGATATGAATCTTATCTCTACCACTTATTAGCCATGTGACTTTGGGCATCTCACATAACCTCTCTAAGTCTCAGTTTCTATAACTGTAAAATGAGGTTACTAATACCTGTCTTGCCAAACTCACAGGGTTGTTGTGAAAATCAAATATGATCATATCACATCAGGACACCTGAGTCCTAACTCTGTCACTTACAAGTTGTGTGAGCTTGGGAAAGTCACTTAATTTTTCTAGACCTCAGTGGCATCATTTGTCAAATGAGGCAGCTGGGCTGAAAGTTCTGTTTCAGCTCTAAGATTATATAATTCTCTGATTCTGCTCAAAAATGATTTTAAAAACTGCAAAACACTACAAATGCAATGTATTATCAATAACATCATCTTGAATTTATATGTTTTTGATTCTGAAGACTTAAAAGCATAAAGAAACCAGTCACAATAACAACACTGATAACAATGAAAATATGTCTCATTTAGCATTAATGGTAAATGCTTGATAAAAATATATTCTGTAATAACTTTTCTAAATAATTTCCCTTTCAGATAATAGCGATATAATATAACAATTACTTTTGTTTTTATAGTGCTTGAAGATTTAAATGTAAAGTGCTTTATAAGTATTATCTCATTTTTTCCCCTTCACAACAACCATGGGAGGCAGATGTTATCATAACCTTTTTGTCTGAGCAAAGGTTAGATTTTGCTCAGTGTCACACAGCTAGTAAGCATCTGAAGCAAGATTTGAACACATCTTCCTGATTTTGAGGCAGTTAGGTGGTGCAGTGGATTGAGTGCCAGGCCTGGAGTCAGGAAGACTCATCTTCCCGAGTTAAAATCTAGCCTCAGGCACTTACTAGCTACATGACCCTGGACAAATTCACTTAACCCTATTTGCCTCAGTTTCCTCATTTGGAAAATGAGCTGGAGAAGCAAATGGCAAACCACTCCAAGATCTTTGCCAACAAAACCCCAAATGGTGTCACCAAGAGTCGGACATGACTGAAAAACAACTGAATAACACAAGGCTTGTGATTTCACTGGTATTGCTGAGGAAATGCTCTCTGCTAAGGCAATCTACAACTTAAGTATTAAATTCTCCAGGTTTGCACAACCAATATGTTATTGGGACAAGACTTGAATCCAGATATTCATGGTTCCAAGGTTATCAACCTTTACATGATAACCATGCTGGGTTTTTTGCTTGGTATGAGGAGAGAAATACATTTTAAACTCACAGATTCCAATTCCTCCTCCCCAAATGTCCTCTTTCCGAACGTGATGATCAAACACGTGCTAGTTAAACATTGTTTATTGACTTCACTCTTAATTGACACTGAGAGGTAGTTGAGTGTATTGGATGGAGGACCAATCTTGAAGTCAGCAAAATTTGGTTTCTGCCTCTGACATTAATTAGCTGGGTGCTCATGATCAACTCAGGAAGGCCTGGGTTCCAGGGCTTCTACACTGACTAGTTGAGTGACAATGTCCCCAGGCAACTCTGTAAGACTAGGAAATTATAAATAACTTGCCAACCTAAGTCCAGTAAAGGAAGTTTCTATGGAGGGAGTTCCACCCCTCCCCCTTCCCACTTAAATCACAGATCTAAACTGATTTTTTTTTAAAAAAAATTAAACATTAGGATAATATGAGTTGAAACTCAGTTGTAAGCTTTGTACGTAGAACGAGGAGAGTAAACTAGAATCTCTCTTGGGTTCCCTTTAGCTCTAAAGCTATGGTATTATTTTATGACCTTAGTCCTAGGTCGGCTAATAACTTGCCTCGTGACCTTGGGGAAGTTCCCTAGGTCCATAGTAAGTGCTTCCCCGCCCCCGCACCAGACATTCATTCATTCATTCATTCATTCATTCATTCATTCATTCACTTGTAAAATAAGAAAGTTGCGCTCTTGCTGTCCTGAGATTCCCAGTACTACTACAGTGCTTCTTAAATCAGTATGGGTGAAGGGGTAAGTGTTTTTACCTGTGGGGAGAGGGAATTACCCGATCCTCAGGAAAATCAAGTTTACTGTAACTTGACTAAATAAACAGCGACATAATCTAGTTCTTCCATTTTTCACGGGGGGTGGGTGGGAGTAGGAGGGAGGGAAGGTAGAGAGGTAGAGATGGGGTCCCCTTTTTCTCGCTCTCTTCCCTAGACCACACATTGTCTTCCATTCTTGGGCAGGCCCCTCTTTTCTCCTCTGGGGCAAGAACTAAAGAATGATTTCATTGCTCTCCCTCCGGGCTGCCAGGCAGGAAACGCTCTCAGCGCTCGGATAAGCCTGCATTTGGAAAGGGGAAAAAAAAAAAGGAAAAGGAAAAGAGAAAAAAAAAAAGGAACAAAGCCAGAAAAACTTGACCAGAGGCGCTCGCTCTGAGCCCAGCAGGATTACTACAGGTTTCCAGTTTCCTAGAAACATGGATCCGACCCCCACATAGCTGGGCTTGTGGGCGGTGTTTTTAAATATATGCTAATACAGCTGACAGGAGGTGCAGCCCGGGCTCGCTCTTCCCTAGTCGTCCCTGACGGCGAACCGGGAGGTAGGCAAAGCTCGCGGAGACGGCGGCTCCGACGTGCATGGCCTTGGGCCGCCCCGGGCTCGGCCGAGCCGCTGAGTTCGTCCATGCCGGCCACTGCCTTTGTCGTCCGGCACTAAGGGAGACATGCGCCTCTGAGAATGGAGATCAAGGACTCCGGCAGCGTGGTGCTGACAGCCTACCACTCTTACGCACCGTCTAGGCTGCCCAGAGTCGAGCAGAGCTTCGTGCCAGAGCTCGCGGCCGCCTCGCCGCCGTCGGGCCACGCCGTCAGCAGCAGGTAAAGCGCCCGCGAGGCTGGGTTTGGGAGCCAGGGCGGGCGCGCTTTGGTTTCGGTTTGGAGCCGGCGCTCCGTAGCCCCGGCATGCTAATGATCCATTGGCAGCTGATTAGGTTGGCTGCACAGTCTCCTTATCATGCCTGGATTGTTGTTGCACATTCTTCCGCCCGCCTGCGTGATGGAAATTTGGTTAGACAGCTCTGCCTGAGAGTGTGTGTGTGTGGGGGGTGCGTGTGTGTGCGTGTGTGTGCCTGTGCGCGCGCGCGCTCGCGTCTTGGTGAGAAATGAATATTGGAACTGGAAATTGATTAGCAGCTGGTTACCCCCACATCTGGCTTGCGGAGAGCCAAACTCATTCATCAGAAGAACGAAGGGCATTTATTTTAAGACACAACCTTTCCGGAAAACAACAAAAAAAGTTCAAATACTAGTTTATTACAAATTTTTGGGGAAAAACCCCCCATTATTGAACATTTTCAGAAAACTTGGGAGAACTCTCTTTGGTAACTTAACAGTACATATAAAAAAAAGTGTAAAAAGTCTTTAAAAATTAAATCCCAATAGAAATGTTGGCCCTCTTCCCTCCGCCTTCCCCTCCTTTCCGTAGATCCCCCCCCCAACGATTCCATGTAGTAAATTCATTTGGTCTTATAACGCGTGTGAGGGCTAGGGCGCTAGTATATTGCCCTTAGATTCACTTTTTGCAGGGAGATTTCCCCCTGATTCCACGCAGTGAATTCGGTTGGTCTTTATAACGCGTGAGGATTTGGGCGCTGTTATGTTGCTTCTATACTCACGTTTTGCACGGCAAATGGAAATGTTCTTAATGCCTTTTGTTTTGAAAGGGGACGACAACAGAGAACATATCTCTAAGGGTCCTTTGGATGGAGTAAAGCTGGGATCTGTCTTAAACGATTGTATCATGTTTCAACTTTTTCTTCCTTTAAGAGGGCAGTGCCACCTCCATTTACCAAATTAAAGGAGGGACACTTAGGAAGGTGCAGCTAACTGGTAAAAGTTTGACATTGATGAGGAAGGGGGAAAGTGTTTATGGAAGATGACACTTGCATAAATGGGGAGGATTCACTAGTGAATGCTTTTGCTTAGGTGTAGGCAAGTAATTTAGGCTGTGTTTTCCTGAAGAAAGATAACAATCTTTAATTGTCTTCTTCCTATCCCTTGAACTTCTCTTGAGTTATGTGACTATGATTACCTCTGCTTCCTAATTTAATTGACTCTTGAGGGTTTCAGGCGATTATATCCTTTTATTTGAAGGAGTTAACTTTTGGCCTACACTCATAAGAATGCCTACACGAGAACCCTAGTGACTTATGGTGAACAAAGAAAATATTATTTCTTCCCCAAGAGCTAGCCCAGTGAAATATTTTTTTTTTATCTATGGAAATGAGAAAGTGACATTTTGCTTTCATTTCCCCCCTTCAGCAAATTATTTTAAAGTCAACTTGATGATGCAAGTTGATAGACTGCATTTCATGAGTCTTCAGAGCCCGCTCCATGTTCCACAAGGCTAGTGATAATTACCCAGATTATGAAGCACCCAAGTAGAAAGGATGTTAGTGATGTGAGAAGGCACAGCATACTTTGGAAGTCTGACCCCTTAGTCAAGACTTGTGCAATGTGAAAATGGCTCAGAGGTTGCTATCTTGTCTGTAAGGTCCAGCAGCTGTCTGGTTGTAATAGCCAGATTCTGCCATATGGGCTGTCAGAAACAACATCCATGTTTCCAAAGCAAGCTCTGGGGAGAGGGCTTATTAACACAGCATGTGGCTTTGTGGAATGCATAATAGATGGAGGCAAAAGAATTGGATATTTTCCTAGCATACAGTACAGTTGTCAATTTATTCTTGATTGTTTCCAAGCCTGTGGTATGACTCTCCACTCCCCACAAGAGTCTTTTGTTGCTATCTGCTTTCTGAGACATGGATTTGGGCCTCTATATGCCCTTCTGAATTATATTCCAGGACGGGTAATTCATTGGTTCCCAGCAGCTCCAACCAAAGAGAGAAGGCCCTGTATTTACTTAGCCAGAGGCCATCATTAATCCTATGTCTGATAACAGAAAATAACCGGGCCTAAGTTATTAACCTTTGACTTACTAACTGCTGATCAATATACTCCTTCAGGGCAAGCATTAGGATCTTTGTGTGCTAGTTGTAAAGAGAGCTCTCTCTGCTCTTTTCATTGCTTGCCTTTTCATAGGGCCACACTGTCAACGTGAGCCTCCTGAGCATCAAGTGGGATTCCCTGACTTTGCAAGAATCATCCTTCTCTAGCTCTGCCTAACTTAGATCCATTTCAAAGAAATCTATTCCTCTTCAGGTCTTCCATTTACCCGCTGCTATCTGCCAAATTTATGGAGGGCCCAAGAGAAAAAGTTGGGTTAAAACAACAACAGAAAACCCCATTAAAAATCCAATGAACATATCACAACATATCTTGGCATCTGTTAAAATGAAGTATAGGATATTCATAGAACTCAATGAATGAAACTTTTAGAGAAACCTTCATACAGTTACACAATTTCAGCTGCCCTTAGTAAGAGATAGGGGTACCCCCAAAATGCTAGATTAGGGTTGACAATAAATCACTCCAAGGTTAAATGGACTTTATGGGACTCTCATCAAACTGTGGGTTTGGTTTAAATGACTTCTGACATCCTTTCTAGCTCTAGAACTGGATTCCTATTCAGTCACCTAATACTGACATCCTTGGTCCATATGAACAACTTCTGTTGGGACAAAGAAGAATTTCAATCTGAGATATGTTCCGTTTGAGTTAACTAACTTCAGATAACAACAATGAAGAAGCATTGTTTTACTATGCAAAATTCTAGGTTATTGGGTAGCTTAACTTTGTTCCCAATTATTCTCATGGGCATCCTTGGTCCATATGAACGACTTCTGTTGAGTCAAATGGAAGTTCTACATGTTCTTTGGATTGTGGGGTCACAGTGTTGGAACAGGGGGCAGGAAACAAATGTTTATCAGGCATCTACTATGTGTCAGGTACTGTGCTAAGTGCTTTGCAAATATCATTTCATTCAATTCCCACAACCACCACAGGATGTAGGTGTTATTATTATCCCAACTTTACTGTCGAGGAAACTGAGGTTAAGTGACTTGGTCAGGGTCACACACAGCTTAAAAATGTCTTAGGCTGGGTTTGAGCTCAGGTCTTCTTGACTCCAGGCCTAGTTACCATCTAGGAACCTCTGAGGCCATCTAATCCACTACCCTCATTTCACAGATGAGGGCACTAAAACCCAGGAAGATTAAGTACTTTACTCAAGGTATTGGAAGAAGCCACTTGGTAGAGTAACAGCACTTAACTAGGAGTCAGAAGACTTGGCCTCTAGTTTGGTGACACAGTGGAGTCAGGAAGACCTGGGTTCAAATCTAGCCTCAGATACTTACCAGCTTTGTCACTTTGGGCAAACCACTTAACCTCTGATTACCTCATTTTCCTGCAAAAATGGGTATAATAACGGCATCTCTCTCACTGGTTGTTGTGAGGATTAAATGAGATAATATTTGTAAAGCATCTCACACACAGGAGACACTACATGAATTTTTATTTCCTTCCCCTCCCCTCCCCCTTCCAATTTTAGTGATTTCTCCACCCCTATGCCTTGACCCTGAGTAGAGAACTTTAATTCATTTAATGTTTCCTCATCTATAAGAGGGGATAATGTAAACAAGATTCTCTAGAAAGTCATCTCCTTGAAGGCAGGACCTACTTTTGCCTTTGTCTTTGTAGTCTCATTACCAAGCTGAGCTCCTGGCTGCTTGTATTTCTTTGTGTTGCTTTGTGCAGATGAGCTCAGTAAATGTTTTTCTGCTTTTTTACTTTTTCCTATTATGTATGAGGTCATCTACTGTGGGCCTTTATAAGACAGATTTACTTCCCTTTGGTTCCATGGGGTATCTTCTCCCTGTATTCAAGAATTATTTTTATTTGCAATACTCTATAGCATATAGTTTCATATATTTTTTAGAGAAAGACACAGACTTTCTTCCTCATCACAATCTAATCTAATTCATTCTGGAAAGGAATTTATTCTATAATCATCTTCTCCATAAATGCGAGTTTTCTTCCTTATTCTCTTTTCATTTCATTCATCCTCATTCTCTGTGACTTCAGATAGTGGCTAAAATGATTTCACTTTGACCTGCCAACCTAAACTCAGTTAATGAGAACCAACATACTTATTGATCCGCTTCATTAATTGAAGTAGGCTGTTAAGATAATTTTCATTGATCTTTTTTTTTTTTTCTGGAGCCAGAGGAAAACCTTTAAAATCAGGAAGTTGATTTCATACAAATTCAGTCATTTAAAGTGAGAGTATTAAATAACTGGGCAAGTTTTCCCTTGGAAAAGGAGAACTGCTTTTGTAAGTAAATAAGATTTGACCCAAACCAATTTCAAAGAAGAATTTCAATCTGAGATATTTTCCATTTGAGTTAACTAACTTCAGATAACGACATTGAAGATGCATTGTTTTGCTATGCAAAATTCTAGGTTATTGGGTAGCTTAACTTTGTTCTCCATTAGCAAAAATGGTCTTTTATTCTGAGCATTGCCCATTCATTTAGCTAATTTGACTCAAATAAAAGCAGTGGGTGTCCCATGTGTTCAATCCGTTGAGAAGATAGGGTGGGATAACTGATTGTTACTAAGCAAACAGCATTTGGTAGGTGAAGGAAATGTCATTTCCAGTTTTACAGACACTTTGTTATAGAAAAGGGACACGAGAGAATGAAAAAGGATGAATTTAGCTCCACTTAAAACACAAAAAAAGTTAAGAAGAGACTTAAGTATTGTTTCAGAGAAAGCTTCACACTAAATGGTCTCCCTGGTCTGGTTCTAACTTTCAGGGGAAGTACCATCACACACACACACACACACACACACACACACACACACACACTCTAAATAAACAAAATAAAAGTTCACCCCACCCACAAAATGAAAATTATCTG